CCCACCCACCCACTGCCCCCTTAAGGAGCCAGGCAGGCGACCCCCAATAGCCCCACCCCCTTGCAGGGAACTGACGACTTAAATACCTCCTCCCTCCCTCCCCCGTTCCTGAAGCCCCCCAATCTCCACACGCCTGAGAACCCCAGAAGATCCACACCCCCCCCAGAGATGGGTCTGGATTACAAAGAGCCTCTGCTTTATGTCTCCATGTTATGCCCACCGCATGCTCTTTGCATCCATCTCTCCAAAGGAGCCACATTTGAGGGTTTCCAAAGGATGGACAGGCGCCAGAATCCCTTATGCCGCAATTTACTAAAAAGGGGGGGGGGGGAATCTGAACCTGAAATTTGGAAAGACGAGGCACGATTCAGATGGGAAACATCTCCTCTGGAAGGCTGGAATGAGTCTTCCTCTGGGCCAACCCCCCCCCCCACATGCTCCCCTGCTTATCCTGGTTATGGGGGCAGACCGCCCTTGCCTCCCAAAGGGAGCTTGTGGTTGGGGTCCCCTCTGCTGAGCTGCTCACTGTCTGTACTTCCCCCCCCCCACAGCTCCCCCCACCCCCAGAGGCTTTGGGTGCGTTCAGATCCTCCAATCTGATAAACAGATCCATTCATCCTCCAGATGCGCCCCTCCCTGGATCTCTCCTTTTCCGCTTCCAGGATCCACACAAGCCACCAGCTCCTTCCTCCTGAGGAGGAGGAGGAGGGTTTCCAGGGAAGCAACGTCATGGCAACCATCCATACAGACATATCAAATCTGTCAGATTCAGCCTCTTTCATTTTCTCGCTTTTGAGAAATTATCAAATTTGTTTTTCCTTGCTTCTTTCTTTCTTTCTTTCTTTCTTCCTTTCTTTCCCTTTTTTCTTTCCTTCCTTCTTTTTTTTCCTTTCTTTTTTCCTTCCTTCCTTCCCTTCCTTCTTTCTCTTTCCTTCCTTCTCTTTCTTTCCTTCATTCTTTCTCCTTCTTTCTTTCCTCCCTCCCTTCTTTCTTTCTCTTTCCTTCCTTCCTTCTTTCCCTCCCTCTCTTCCTTTTTTAGTGAAAATCTTCATTGGACACCCCCCAAGGAGTTCATGCCATCTTCCCCTTTCTAACTGAATTCACAAAGAATTGAAAGGGGGGGGGGGACACCAGCCCACCACTATTTTCAGCTTTAAAATCCACCTGGAAGAATTAGCTGGTTTTGGGAGGGGGGGGAGTTGTAACCCACCTACCCACAAAATGAGTAAGAAGGAAAGGTTGTGGGGGGGGTTGCCATAGACAGCTGCTAAGCTTGTGGGCATCTAAGGCCCCTATTTTCTGGGGCTCCAAAGTTCGTCTTCCCATCTGCCCAGATGAAAAGACCAGGAGCAGCGGAGATAAGGGGCTGGGCAATTTGAAGCTAATGGCCAGCGAGGCTTCCATCTCCAGATTAAGGCCGAGACGGGACACCAGATTAAATTCTGGCGGGGCCACTTTAGAGGCCAAGGACGATCAGAACCGAACGGGAAGCGGGGGGGGGGGCTCCTTCAGCAGCCTCTCTCCATCAAAAGGGAGGGATTGGCCCCTCCGTCTTCCGGGCGGTATGGATGGAAAACGCCGCCAGGCGATGCGACCGCGGACGCTTTTAGGGGACCCCCGACCCGCCGCCGGCTCTTTCATCGCCCCCCTCCCATTCCGGAGCTGCCCGGCGGCCCCTTTGCGCAACCCGGACCTCGTGCGCGCGGACACGGGGGCGGAGGGGGGGGGGCGAAGGAGGGGGAGCCGCGCAGGGCCGGCGCGCGCCCGGGGCGGGCTGGGAGGCGGAGCAGGATCATCTCCGTGCCTGCCGCTTCTCCTCCTTCGGCCGCGGCTGCTGCTGGGGCGATCGCGGCGGCGGACGAGCCCAGCTGAGCCGGGGCCGGGGCGCCGGCGGTGGTCGGCCATGGCGGCGGCGCTGCTGCCCTGGCGGCGGGGCAAGTGGGTGCTGGTGGGGCCGGAGGAGCGGAAGCGGCCGGGGAAGGGCTGGGCGCCGCGGCTGAGCTGCGCCTCGCTGCTGGCCTCGCTGCTGGGCTGGTGGCCGGAGCTGTGGGCGGCGGGGGCGCTGGGCGGGCTCTTCCGCGGCCGGCGCCGGACGGCGCAGCTGAACGCCGAGGAGCCCACCTTCCGCGTCTGCTACCTGGGCAACGCGGCCACCCTGCAGGCCAAGGGCGAGGGCTGCGCCGAGGCGGCGGTGGAGAAGCTCTGGGCGCGCAGCCAGGCCGGCCAGCGCGGCGCCCGCATGCAGCTCAGCCTGGGCCCGCAGGGGCTCCACCTGCGCCCGGCCAGCGCCGCCAAGGAAAGCCGCCGGCCCGGCCACGCCTACCTGCTGCACCGCATCACCTTCTGCGGGGCCGACCGGCGCCACCCGCGCGTCCTGGCCTGGGTCTACCGGCACCAGGTGAAGAACAAGGCGGTGGCGCTGCGCTGCCACGCCGTGCTGCTCTCCCGGGCCGAGAAGGCGCAGGCGGCCGCCCGGCTCCTCTTCCAGACCTCGGCCGCCGCCTTCAACGAGTTCAAGCGGCTGCAGCGGCGGAGCGACTCGCGGCGGCTCCAGCGGCAGCTGCTGGGGGAGGCGGTGGTCCCGCTGGCGCCCCTCCGCCGGCTGCTCAACGCCAAGTGCCCCTACCGGCCGCCCCCGGAGCGAGGCCGCAACGCCCCCCGGCTCAGCTCCATCCAGGAGGAGGAGGAAGAGGAGGAAGGGGAGAAGGAGAAGAGGAAGAACGAGCGGCCCGCCTTCTGCACGCCCACCCGGGCCACCCATGACTGGCTGGCCACCCGCACCACCGTCCTCTGTGCCATCGGCAGCCTCGGCCCGGCCAGCCCGGCCGGCCACCCCTGCGGCCCCCTTCTTCCCGACGCCAAGACGACCAGGGGCCTGGAGCGGCCGGAGATTCAGACTTTGGTGCGGGAATTCCAGTTCTGCAGCTTGCGAGGTGCGCTGCCGGTGGGGGAGGCGGCCTCCTGGACACCTAGCCGGCAGCTCCCTTGCCTCTCCCGCTAGGAGGGCCCAAGCCATAGTTTTTAAAGTCTTAAATTCCTGGAGATTTGGGCAGGAGAGACCAGTTTTGGGGGGGGGGGGCTTCCATGCTGTTCCCTCCTGGCAACAGATCCAGAGTTTGACAATCGACATGCCACCCCACCCCCCCCCCCCCCAATGCTTGTCCACTGTGTTCCATCGTCCGGCCTCGCAGCTTTTTCTGGCTTGGTGAGAAGCAACCAAAAGCTTTGCGTCCTTTTCTGTGGATTTTGGAGAGTGGCAGAAGAAGAAGGAAGCCTCTGTGAGCTGGTGCTCACAAGGATGGGTCTCTTGGTACATTGGGGGGAGCGGGGCAGTTTTTGCATATTTCGTGGCCTTG